GGGAAAGATGTCCTTTGCTGTGTGAGGGAATGACTCAGCCCAGGAAACTTGGGGTGTCTGCCTTCTGAGATCTATCCCCTGAGTCCCTAGTCCTGACTTCTGCTCTCACAGCTCCAGTTCATTTCACCTTGCCTCTGCCAGAGCGCAGGGTGGGTGGCACCACAGAGAATTTTGTGCATTGGCCCTTTAAGAGGGTGCCTGAATTTTCAGCTGTCACTCCCTAGCAGATAGCACCCCACTGCTTTTCACAGCCAGATGTTATGTGGGTACTCTTCCCAGTTTTGGTGCACTCTTCTGAGGGTGTGGGGGAAACTTGCGGATTAGATCCCAGAGGTCTCAGTGGCAACCCCCAACAGCTGAGATATCTCTCCGGGTCTTCAGTTGCTGTCTGTGGGCACCTGGCCAGCCGTTTCGCACCTCCGCCCCTTCTACCAGTCTCTATGTAGTCTCCACTTTCGGTTCTAGGGTATCAGGGTTCCCTCCTGCAAGTTTTCCATTGATTATTCAGGAAGTTTTTTCTGTATTTTAGTTGTAATTCCAGTTTGTTCCTGTTAGCATGTCTGTGCAGCACCCACTTACTCTGCTGCCATTTTTAATCCTCTAAAATAGACGTTTTAAAACAAACTAAAATCAAGGTAGCTTTCCACGAACAAATCCTTAGTGAAGGAAATTCTAAAGGATGTACTTCAGTCAAAATGATCATATAGAAAGCATGGGATGCAAGATGAAATTATCAGCAAAGATACTGAGACACATCTGGGTAAATCTAACAAACCAATAACTAGATAAAGCAACAATAATAATGCTTGATGTGTGGGGATTTGAAAAAGAGAGAGAACAAAGTGACAACAACAACAATAGCAAGTTGAATGTTAAAGAATCCGAAGATCTTAGTGTAGTTCACAAGAGGGTGAAGGCTGCACTAGAACTGCCATCTGGGTTAAAATGCTGAAATATTTCAGTACTGATTAGGAAAGATAAATTCTCCACTTTTTGAGACCACAAGTGACCTGACAACATAATCCAGTATTGGCCACACAGACAAGTAATGGGGCCTGCGCATGTGTAGGCATTGATGGGGTGGCTGAGGCAGCATCTCTCCACATCACCCAGGGATAGGCAGCAAGGTCTGAGCCTATTTGGTAGTAGGAGCAGTTTTGGTGGCAGGGGCTGAGGCACAGGCTTTCCAATCCAGGTCATAAGATGCACACCCAGCCAATGCTGGTTGCCAAAGACCTAATGTCTATCAATTTAGTGAGAAAGTTAGAAGAACCTGATGCAATTCTTCATATCAAATCATGACTTAGACAGAAACTGATGAAATTATGATGGAATGATTTAATAAACAGCTCATGCTATAGCTTATATCAGTTGAAAGCACTTTTTTGATATGCATAGCTTATTTATATAGTAAATGGGGATATACTAGTAATTATAATGCTTCATTTATAGTCATGTACCACTTATCAATGGTTTGGTCAATGACGGACTTCATATACAATGGTGGTATTCTGTATAGCCTAGGTGTGTAGTGTTCTGTACCATCTAGGTTTGTGTATGTGCACTCTGGTGTTTGCACAATGACAAAATTGTTAAAAGATGCTTTTCTCAGAGTATATTGCCATAGTTCAGCAGTGCATGACTGTGTAGATTGATATATTGATTTAAAATGCCATTCTAGTAGTTGAATGTATTTAGTATCACTGCTAGGTAGAGGCATTGATTTACTTGAGGCTCTAAGTATGGGCATTAAAATATATAATATTTATATGTATGTGTGTGTGTGTGTGTGTGTGTGTGTGTGTAAGAAGAATTTACAATCTGATAGAAAAATAAATAGAATGAGAAAGCTAAAAAAACAAAGAACTGACCAGACCCAAAAGAGACTAATTTGTTGAGACCAAAGGTTTAGTAAAAAATTCAAGCTACTCATCAGGAGGAGAGCTTGGGTGCAGGAGCAACAGAGGCCAGTCCCAAGGGTGCAGAGGGAGATGAGAAATAGGTCAGGCTCTGTAGAGGCCCATTCACATGTGAAAAGTTGAGGAGAAGGTGCATAGGGATCACACAACAAGCTGGGACTGGTTAATTCTTCCCACCTGACCATCTATACAGTGATTAATAATGCCACCACAACAAATATTTTGCCCATTCTTCAAAGTGAGACCTTGGCCCCAGGCATCTCCAAGTGCTTTGTCAGGGAGATAGGGGGTTGGCCAATAGAGTCAATAGATTCTGGCTCTGCCCAGGTCTGTTATTGGCTTGGGATACTCAGGGCTACAAAGCCACTCCCTGCTCTACACCAGGGTATTCCAGGAGGAAAATCCTCATGTCCAGGGGTGGGCAAACTTTTTGACTTGAGGGCCACAATGGGTTCTTAAACTGGCCCGGAGGGCCGGAACAAAAGCATGGATGGAGTGTTTGTGTGAACTAATATAAATTCAAAGTAAACATCATTACATAAAAGGGTACGGTCTTTTTTTTTAGTTTTATTCATTTCAAACGGGCCGGATCTGGCCCGCGGGCCATAGTCTGCCCACGGCTGGTCTAAGGCCTGGAGTCAGAATGTACCAACAGGGCCCAAGAGGACAAGATGTGCCTTAGCTCCTGCTCCCAGCTCCCAAATCATACTACTATCTTGAGGGTGGGTGAGTTGGCCCTTCCCTGTCATGAGGACACCCTAGCCATGCCTTGGTCAGTCTTGTACCTCCTTCTGGTGGGCTTAGGAAATGGGATTTACCCAAAGAACAGGAATCTGTTCAAGCATACACAATCTAGCCTAAGCTTTTGAGACGGAAATCCATATCTGGACAGGAGTGAATTCACCTGGTGGCACTTTTCTTTGAGGGGTCCTGGGACTTGGTTAATAATTACAACTATAGACTGTTACTGAGCATTCTGTGTCCAATATCATGCAAGTCAGCTACATATATGTTCATGTCATCTTGATTGATATACCTACGAGGAAATTAAAGCTCAGAGAGGTGAAGATACTTGACCAGAGTTGAGATTGTAACCCAGGTGTATTACCACCAGGAAAAGAGCTACACCAATACTCACCCCAGGTTTACCCAAGCCCATGTCCACCAGCGTTCTCTAGGCCAAATTCTGGACCTCACCCTTTAACCAGTCAGGACTATTCCTTTGGGATACTATACAAAAAGCAAGAGGCAAAATGCACAAAGTCTCCTTGTAGCTCACTGTGCTGAGCCCAGCCAGGAAACCACGACCCCAGGAATCCCTGTCGCCTGCTGTCTGGGCTGAAGCTTCTTGTTGTCCTGGAAACAATGACCTCAGTGACTAATAGTGACCTCATTTAGGAATTTGGCACTAGCTGCTTTTTATCCTCATTGGTGAGGTCCTACGTGCAGTTCTTAACCCTCTCAGTCCTAGGCAAGCCAGGACAGCTGGTCACCTTAGCAAGAAGGCAAGTTGAAAACACACCCAGCACCATCCAGAATTCAGTCAAAATTAGTGTGGCGCAGAGTTTAAGTGCCACGAAGTATGGTCTGAGAGCAGGGATCTCAGCCCAGGGCTGTGGCTGACTCGTGACCTTCGAAAAAGCATTTCCCTCCAGGAGCTTCAGTTCCCCCATCTGACATGTGAGGACATTCCAGTTCTGTGGAGGGTAAGGTAACATCATCCAATTAGTGTTACCAAGGCAGTGCAAAGTGCACCACCTCTTGGAGAAGCAATTTGGCAAAATCTGGCATCCTTTCACACACTTTCTTATCCCTTGGGACTTACAATTCCAAGGTAATAGCTCAAGGGAAATAGAAAAGTTCTTTGCAGAAACATGTACATTGCAGGACTATCTATCATGGCAAAGAGGTGGAAGCAACCTCAACACTAAAACAAGAAGCAGTGAACTAGGGATGCTACATCCACTAGGAGGGATCAAGTACTGCAGTCATTAGAAAGGTCCACAGGCTCTTGGGGAAATTTAAACCAGCTTGGGAAAGGCAAAGCTACATGGCCAACATGAAAAGGTGTTGCGGCAGAGAAAGACTAATGGAAAAGGGAAAGATGGTAATAATAGTTGTACTGCTTGGTAAGATCAAATGTAAATATTTCTGCATTTTGTCAGATGGTGTAAACCACTATGATATTATTTTTCACACACACATAAGAAGAAATTAATAAATGAGAAAACTTTAGCTGTAGTCTCCACAGCTGCTCCTGGGATTAAATCAGTCAGCCATGTGCTGATTGTTGCCCATGCAGACCAAGGGCCTATGAACCTTGCTGGATGTCCCTGTGCTGCCCAGAAATGGCCTGCACTGCAGCAATTTCCAGGCAACACAGGGATGGAGCCAGGACTCCTGACATTTAGGCCAATGTATCTCCCACTACCAGCCTTCATCTCTCAAGCTCTCCATTGTGGTGACAATGTCCACACCTGGTAAACTGGTCAGAGATTTTGGCTGCAATCAAAGAAACCAATTTTGGCTGATTTGGGCAGAAAAGGAATGTATAAGAATATTATCGAGTAGCTCACAGACTTTAGAATGTATCTCCCACTACCAGCCTTCATCTCTCAAGCTCTCCATTGTGGTGACAATGTCCACACCTGGTAAACTGGTCAGAGATTTTGGCTGCAATCAAAGAAACCAATTTTGGCTGATTTGGGCAGAAAAGGAATGTATAAGAATATTATCGAGTAGCTCACAGACTTTAGAAACAATTAGACACAAGCATTAAAGGAAAAGAAGACATTGACCAAATAATGCTGAGAAGCCAAGAACACAACCAAATCCCATAGAGGAAAAATATGGAGAAGCTAGGCTATTGTAAAGGTTTGGCTTAAGTGGCTTCTCGCAATGCTCCCACTCTGGAAAACCTACTGCCCACAACCACAAAAGGACCCAGACCCAGGATGCTGCCTTCCCTGCTGGGTTCCCCAGATAGGCCACTGAGTCTATGCCTAAGGACCCCACTGCCCCAGGCATTACATGACTCAGTGAGGGCACCAAATGCTCACCTTTCAAATTTATTCCTTTCAGGGCAACATGTGGACATATCCTGGTTCCAAGTGGCCCACATTAAAGAGGATGGGATACTCATGGAGAAGCCAGCCCGTGTGGAGCCACATTACGTAGTCCTGGAGAACCCTAGCTTCTCCCCCATGGGCATTCTACTGAGAATGATCCACACAGCCCTGGGCATTCCTGTCATCTCCAACGTGTTGCTCTACTGTCACTTTCAATCCGAGGAAGTCAACTTCCATCTCTACCTAATCCCCAGCGACTGCACCATTCGAAAGGTTGCCCCAATAGCTGGAAAGGGCAGGCCAGGATGGGCTGACAGAGACATGACATGCATCAGAGAGCTCCCTAGATGGGTCAACTGGGCTTAAGTATGGGACATGGACTGGTCTCCTGTCCCTAAGGCCTTTCCTAACTGGGCTCACTGCTTCACCACTCATTGCTAGACACCTTTTGCAGCTTCTTTCCAGGAGTCAGAAGGATGGGAGGGGCTCCCTGCCCAGAGCTGCACCCACTCCTCCATTCTCACTTCTTCTCTAGCAATGCCCCAATTCACACCCTGAACACAGCACTGGCCAAGTGTGGGGATCTCTGTGTAGCAGTCATTGGGGTGGGAGAGTTCATGGGTGGTATAACCCCTTCACCCACATAAGTATGTGGAAACACCACCTCACTTTGTTCAGACTAGATTCCATAGGGTGGAATCTCTGGATTAGACCACAGAAACCCTCCTTTATTAATCAGCATCCGTATGCCCCTTAGGCCATAGATGATGAAGAAAAGAAGTTCCAGTTTTTTCGAATTCGCAAGCCGCCCCCGCTGACACCACTCTACTTGGGCTCCCGATATACTGTGTCTGGTTCAGACAAGTTGGAAATAATCCCTAAGGTGAGCAGTCTAAATATTCCCTCCTCCCTGAGAGGTCATGCCTGGGAATAGCTGTGAGGCAGGTTTCAGAGCTTCCCCAGAGGCAGGCCCAGTTAGGGTTGGGCAGACAGCGAGTGGAATTTTGGGTAAGCAGGAATGCTTCAAAGATTGGGAGAAAGGAGGCTAGTAAGAGGCAGGTTCATATTCAGGGTAGGGATAACAATGGGGTTTGACTTAGGGGAACTGAAAGTGTTGGGCTATAGGGTGTCCATGCTCTTCAAGCAAACCAACAGGAACACATCTGAAGCTGAACACAGTGGGATTATTACTCATTGCAGTGAGAGAACGCACACCAATGGGAACCGTGGGGCTCCTCATATCAAGAGATGCAGAAAGAACCTATTTCACGATTTGGGGCTTAGTTGGGTAATTTCCGGGAAGGTCTAAGGAAATGAAGATTTGGTCTAGATCTGGTATTGTCAGAAGGCAGGGCAATTCTATGATTGGGAACCTCTACACATTTTCTCTCTGGGAAGGGCAGGCACTGCAAGTGTGAAGGTATAATTGCTGAAATAGCTCATTTTGAAGTGGAATGGGGCGAAGTTTGGCGATTGTGAGGTTGTATGTGTTCAACAGGAGGATAACACAGCAGAGATGGCAGCATCAGATTAGTTTGTAATAACAACGAGGTCTAGTTGTGAGCATCGCATTAGGTTTGGGCATCAGGGGCTGTCTTTTATCCTTTCTCAGTCTCCCCTTTCACCAAAGGGAATGACGTCAGGACACTGGACATTCATCCATGATATCCACATGGTCACCATTGCCAAGATTTGTTGCCTAGGGTCAGATTTTCAACTGAATGGTAGTTTGTAGTTCAACCAGAGTCAATCTTTTTTCCCCCCTTCTGTTCTGAGATGAGTCCTTGGACCAATTTTAGTGATAATGACAGATGGTATACATTTCCAGCAGGAAGGAGAAAGAATTATATAACTTTTTTAAAAATATATTTTATTGATTTTTTTACAGAGAGGAAGAGAGAGGGATAAAGAGTTAGAAACATCGATGAGAGCGAAACATCGATCAGCTGCCTCCTGCACACCCCTGCTGGGGATATGCCTGCAACCAAGGTACATGCCCTTGACCAGAATTGAACCTGGGACACTTGAGTCCGCAGGCCGATGCTCTATCCACCAAGCCAAATTGGCCAGGGCGAATTATATAACTTTTAAGTTGAGAAACATGAATCCAACCATGACTACCTTAAAATTCCCTCTGTGTCAGATCTTAACAAGGGATGAGAGACATGATTCAGTCATTCACCACACATTTACCCAGTGCCAACCCTGTGCTGTCTTCATTTGTGATCAAGTTCAGTGAACAAGACAGACAAGGCTCTGCCCTTGGGAAGATGACATTCTGGTGGATGAGACCTACATCATTGAAGAAATGGACCAAGAACCATGAAGTGCTGTGAGGAAAACACAACCATGCCATTTAAGGGAATGATTTGGACTACTTTATACTGGGTGGTCAGAGGAGGAACCTTTGAGAAGTAATATGTAAGCTGAGACCTGAGTGACAAGAAGGGTCCTGGGAGGTGAATATTTGTAACAGAGCACTTTAGGTCCAGAGGATAGAGGAGCAGCCACCCTGATCCCTCCACATGACAAGTGGGAAGTCAGTGTGGCAGAGCTTACTGAGTGTAGCAAAGAGAGAAGTAAGCTGGGGTCACACAAGAGACAGAGGTTTCCTAGGGCCCATCAACTCTGCTGCCCTGATGTGGAGTTTGGATTTTGTTCTAAGTACAATGACTAGATCTCAGAGGTTGTTGCTTGGTAATACAAGACCTGCTTTAGTTTCATATAGATGCCTCTGGCTGCTGGGTAAGAATGGGTGATAAGAAGACAAGAGTGAAAACAAAAAACAAATCAAAAGACCATTGCTATGGTACCAGCAGGAGCTGCAGATGCCTTGATTAGGGAAAAAGCAGCTGAGATGAAGATAAGTTGATGGATTGAGAGTATATGTTGCAAGTGCAGTCAATAGAACTTGACTTATAAGAGAGAAAGCTGAGGAGGAGGAGAACAAGAACAAGAACAAGAACAAGAACAAGAACAAGAACAAGAACAAGAACAAGAACAAGAACAAGAACAAGAACAAGAACAAGAACAAGAACAAGAACAAGAACAAGAACAAGAACAAGAACAAGAACAAGAACAAGAACAAGAACAAGAACAAGAACAAGAACAAGAACAAGAACAAGAAGAAGAACAAGAAGAAGAACAAGAAGAAGAACAAGAAGAAGAAGAAAGAGAGAAAGCTAAGAATTAAAGGTGATGTCTGAATATGGAATGTGGATATTCAGTGGTGGTAGTGCCATTTACTGCATGTGGGGAAACTGGGAAGGGAATGTTTTTGGAAGATAGTTGGGAATCAAGAGTCATCTCGAATGTGATTTAGAAAAGGGGATGGATACAAATTTTCTGTTGATTAATAGTGGGTCTATCTGGGAGATGGGAGTGGCCAGGGAAAGATCAAAGGGGGGTTGCACGGGGGGGGGGGGGACATATGTAATACTTTAAACAATAAAGAATTTAAATTTATAAAATACATAATAGCCCTAGCTGGTTTGGCTCAGTGAATAGAGCGTCGGCCTGCAGACCGAAAGTCCCAGGTTTGATTCCGGTCAAGGGCACATGCCTGGGTTTCCGGCTCAGTCCAACATGCAGGAGGAAGCCAATCAATGGTTCACACTCATCATTGATGTTTCTATCTCTCTATTTCTCTCCATTCCTCCCTGACATCAATAAAAATATTTTTTAAAAAAATACATAATACTTGGTAATGATAATAAACTACTATGTTACTGTCTTTTTTTTTTTTTTTTTAAAAAGGTATGTCAAGCTTAGGATCCATTAAGAAGACAGTCTTTGGGCTGGAGAAATTAGAATTTGGGTTCAAGATGGGGGAGATGGAGGAAGAAGGATCTGGTTCAAGATGAAGGGAGAAGGATCTGGTTTAGGATGTGTGAGCACTACATTATGGGTGAGTCCTGACTCATCCATGGGATACCCAGCCATGTCCTCTTCCTTCTGAGTCAGGATTTGTGGAAAATGAGGAAGAGAGCAGTGCCTGAGGTGGCATTAATTTCAGTAGAGATCATCCAAGGGTCCCCTGGGCCAAGAAAGTGTCAGGTGGGGAGGCACCTCACTTGCAGGATGAATGGTGGCTTCTCACATCACCACTGTTTCTACAGGAACTGGAGCTCTGCTATCGAAGCCCTGGGAAAGCCCAGCTCTTCTCTGAGTTCTATGTTGGTCATTTTGTGTCGGGGATCCGGCTGCAGATTAAAAGCAAAGATGATGAGACTGTGGTATGGGAGGCCTTGGTGAAATCAGGTAAAGTCAAGACAAGTCAAGGGAGCTCAGTGGTGGGAAACAGAAAGTCAATAAAAGAGTCTGCCTCTGTGTGTGTGTGTGTGTGTGTGTGTGTGAGAGAGAGAGAGAGAGAGAGAGAGAGAGAGAGAGAGAGAGAGAGATATCACAATTTGTTGATGAGAAGAAATAGCCCAGAGAAGTTATGTGATTTTTTTTCTAGTTACATAACATTTGGTGTGACCAGAATTTTAATTAAAGTTGGTCTGACTCTAAGCTCCATTCCCTCTTCCGTGCACCATGGTGTCTCTATACTGCCCTTGATTTAACAGATTTTTTTAAAAAATAAATGTATTTTTCATCATCATATACTGTGTTTTTGTCGCTCGAATGAATTTTATTATTTCTTCAAATTTCTTTTTTTTTAAATACATTGATTTTTTTACAGAGAGGAAGGGAGAGGGATAGAGAGTTAGAAACATCGATGAGAGAGAAACCTCAATCAGCTGCCTCCTGCACACCCCCTACTGGGGATGTGCCCGCAACCAAGGTACATGCCCTTGACCTGAATCGAACCCGGGACCCTTTGGTCCACAGGCCGACGCTCTATCCACTGAGCCAAACCGGTCAGGGCGCTTTAACAGATTTTGACACCCATAAGACATTTGGCAAAATTTCTCATAATTGATTGGATATGAGATGAAAAAATAAGAACTAGACAGTTATATGGTTGTATGAATTAAGCCAATTATTGCAATAGCACATGCACTAACCTGGATCATACAGGTATCTTCAAAGTAAACAAGAGGGAATCAAATAATGAACTTTCAGGGATGAATGTAACTTTACAGTGTCTTAAACCAGCACCAACACACCCAAGAAGCAAAATCCCTCAAAAGTCCTTCTAGGGCCCGCTGGTGTTGTTCAGTGGGTAAGAGTCAATCCATGAATCAAGAGGTCGTGGTTCGATTCTCTGTCAGGACACATGGCTGGGTTGTGGGCTCGATCCCCAGTAGGGGACATGCAGGAGGCAGTCTATCAATGATTCTCTCTCATCATTAATGTTTCTAACTCTCTCTCACTCTCCCTTACTCTCTCTGCAATCAATAATAAAAACCGGTTTTAAAAATAAAATTCCTTCCTGAAAAAAGCATATCATGTTCAATGTTATAAAGCCTAGTGAAAATGGCCCTCACCAGTGTAGGTCAGTAGTTAGAGTGTCAGCCCATGGACCAAAGGGTCGCAGTTTAATTCCCTGTCAAGGGTAGATACCTGGGTTGCAGGTTCCATCCCCGGCCCCAGTCAGGGTGCATGTGGGAAGCAACCAATCAATGTATTTCTCTCACATTGATGATTCTCTCTCTCTCTCATTCTCTCTCTCTCTCTCTCCCTCTCTCTCTCTTTCCTTCCCTCCCTTCCACTCTCTCTGGAAATTCATTAAAAAAATATCCTCAGGTGAGGATTAACAACATCAAAAATATATATAGTGAATCTGCCTCCTGAGGTGCTACAACAGGCTTTCCAGGGAGGGGAAAGATAACGGTCTTTACTCGTCTTGGCTCGGGTGCAATCACAGGTGTGGACTAACCAGCCCCTGCATCAGACCTCCTTTGAATGTCACTCTGGCACTTACTTGCTGGGTGATCTTGGGAAAATGACTTCACCCTTTTGAGTGTCAGACTCCTCATTTATAAAAAGAGGGTCATATGGCCTAACTTGTAGGATTGTTGGAAAGATTAAATAAATTACGTACTTCAAGCATGTCAAACTCAAAGGCTAACATGGGCCAAATAAACAAGGTTTAAGTTTAAGTGGGCCGCAAATAAAGAAAAGCTTCAATTTTCATAGAAATGTAGGTTTATTTCAATAGAGACATGCTGAATACAAAGGACTAAAATAAATGAGTAATCATTAACATAAAATAATAGAACATTTTAATAAAAATTAATATTTTTTC